TACCAAAACATTTGTGTTGCGAAACTAAAACCTGTTTCGAATTTGAAATTCAGTGTTGCGATAGTCAGAATCGCGTTGCGATTTACATATTCGCATTGCGAATTTCTAAAATCGCTACGCGAATTTGAAAAATCGCAATGCAATAGTTAAATTCACGTTGCGAATCTGGAAACTAATTTGCGATACTGGAGATCGCATTGCGATTTAGAGATCGCATTGCGATTTTGTTGGTCATTTTGGCAAATCGAAAAAAAGTTGATCAAAATCGTATATTATAAGAAATTTTTGGTCACTGAGGTTATTTTCTCTTTTAAATATTGTTGGATTAATTTTTTATGTACTATAGGATAAACCCATGATTCTAACACTAGACATTGACGTAAGAGTCCATTAAAGAGGTTAAATATAAAATATCGAGCTTGTCAAGACCATCAAACTTGGCCCATCACTTGAAGAATGCTGAAAAGCTCGTTCACATTGGTTGTGCATATAACACCCTGGTCACAGAGAAATACTCGAGTACCTGAGAGTACATTAGATTCCAATCTTGTCGGACAGAACGAAAACCATAATTCATGTTTACTATGCAAAAACATTCAAAATAGAAATCATACATTAAACATTACATGACAAAGAATATCAACGAATAATTTAAAGTCTCGAAACAATCCGAACAATGTAAGAAGGGGTAAATCAACCATTTGCAAAACCAAACAATCACAAAGTGAAACACCAAATTAAGGTTGTCAATATTCATTATTAATCTTTAGTTAGTGACATGTAAATTTTTAGAATAATCGGACATCAAACAGGGACTCAATTGAACATACAATTCTAGGGACTAAAACATAAATAATTCAAAAGTCACATACAAGGAACAAACATGCAATTAACACATTCATTATGTAATTAAATATATTTAAGAGTGACAACTCAAGTTTCATCAAATTTCGAGTTAAGGTCTACTATTAATTAGCAAATTATATTTTGGACCATTTTAAACTTATATAAACATCTTGGGAACAAACTAAGAGTTAGGAATACTTATGGCCTTTAATGAATGCAATTTTACCATTTTCATCGAGCACACAACAAAGGGAACGATCATTTTTCACGAGGGATCAATCATTTGCAAAAGAGTGAGTTTGGGATCGATCCTTCTGCCAAGGGATCAATCCTTTTTTAAAAGAGATCGATTATTTCCTCTAAGGATGCGTTTGGTTCACGGAATGTAAGATTATCAGTGGGAATAAAAGATTACCAGGAAATAGGATTACTGAGAATGTTGTATTTTGTGTTTGGTTGGTTTAGCAAGAATGTAAGAATACTGTGTTTGGTTAAAGGAATAAAAGATTATTGAAATGCATATTTAACCAAATTGTCCTTATTATATATTTGTTTTTTTAACAAGTTGTATTCTACTATAATATTACTATAATTAATTTATATATATTTTTTTAAAAATTTAAATTCATAAAATTTATATATTTTTTTTTACAAAATTGAAAAGATAAATAGATTTAATGAAAGGGTAAAATTTTATTTTAACCTCTGAATTTCATATAAAATTTTAATTATAGACTTTTTTTTTGTAAATCTAAAATAGTATAAGGATAAAGTTGTAATTTAACTTTCGTAGAATTTTTATTATTCAACAACAGAATAATGATATTTTTGGAAAAAAAATTAAGGGCATTTTAGTCCAAAAAAACCGGTAATCCAACAATACCTAAGGGAAGGGATGTAATCACATTCCCGGTAATATACTCAAAAAATCCACTGTTGGTAATACAACATTCCTTGAACCAAACGGGGCCCAAGGAAATGATCCTTTTTCTGGAAAAGTATAGAATTCTTAAAAACATGCATAAACGAGTTACCAAACTTTCACATATTCAATCCTAGAGACTAGATACATGCTTGGACACTTTTACATCACATCATATATGTCAAAATACACTTGTAACATGCTTTATAACACAAGTCACCTCATCATACAAGAATCTTACATCAAAAGTTAAATATTGCATAAAAGTTCATTTTTAATACAAATCACCTAGTCCAACTATGCATTTAATGTTATTTCATGCATCCTATAAGTCTAGCACATTTAGTTCACTTAGTGTCACTTGTCTAAACACACCAAACACTTCTTTGAGGCACAAATAAACATTTGGCTAATTTGATGTTTAATCCAACCAACAACATGACTTCATTATTACAAATCAACAAATCAATTCAATTAGAAAATTCCATCACAAAACCAATGGTCAGTACACCATACCACACTTATTACAACTCCACATATTAACAATAGTATAGGCCCCAAAATGAGTCCCACATTGCCACTATAAGGATTTAAACCACATACGATTTATTTAGTAATATCTTGTTTCAACACTCGACTACTAATACTCTGAATCGACTACCAATCCTCTGAAAAGTGTTAAACATCGAGTGTGAGCTGAAAAGCCTAGTGAACAACTAACATTCTAAGAAATGCAGATTCCAAAGCTAAAGGAAAGTCCCATATGCAATCACTCCTCAGTTATTTTTACCTCAACATTCATGCTATCATGTCATGCTTTTATGTTCACATATTGCATCCTAAATACACACAAAATCCAGAATATAAACTTACCATTCAACATCATATGTCCAGCCGCAAACACATACATTGATGCACAATTACTTCTTGGCAAGTCACACACAATACACATGGTGTTTCAATTAAAGATCAATGAATTTTTATTCGAAACACTACTCACTTATTAGATAAACGGACTACATACAACTCTCTTTAATTTGTGCACTCACTAACTCAAAAACCCACGACTTTCGGAGTAAACTCAGCCCTTTGTTCGTGAATAACTCCAACGGAATTTGACTAAGATGAATTCAAATTGGTAATGAATCTATGTTGAACTTTAGATTTTGAATATTTGGTTCCTATTTTCAAACAATCGCTGAAAAATTATGAAAGTATCATGGCCCCTGATCTAAAATTCAATCTCTAATGGCCAACGTACCAAAATGAACAAAAAAACTCAAATCCCCAACTAACATAGCCTCAATTCCACTCTTGTTCCCCCACATCGAAACAACTAATTATTTAAATACAGTGAAACCTAATAGCTTACCTAAAAATTGCACCACCAAGGAACGCTGCCAAACCCGTACGCCCTCATCAAAGACATTCGAAGGCCGCACAACGCAAACACCGCCATCCATCGACTGTGGTGGAAAGAATTGAAGAGAATGCTCCTCGTTGGCTGCAAAAAGGCCTCTCCAATCCATCCCAAAACTAAAAATCAATCAAGAACTAAAAATACTAACTAATAACTAATGAATCTCGCAAAACGAATCAACGAATCAATAAATATGGAGAACAGAATCAAAGAATCAATGAAAAGAGCAAAGGAATCGACGAGAATAATCCAGCTATCTTGCGCCTAGAGTATCCCCTAATCGTGCGCCTTTCATTATCCCTCCTTCCACTTATAAAAATGATGACATTTTTTATATTATTAATATAATAAAAAAATTAAAATTAAAAGTTAAAGTGATTAAAATAAGAGCGATTTAAAAGTTAAATAATTAAATTAAAAAAAATTAAATTTTAATAACTAAAATAAGAGTAAAAAAATCCTGATTTTTTTTTGGAAGCGGGATGGTAAGAAAATAGGGTGCCAATTAGTGTGATCAATTCCGTTTTAGTAAAGGATGGTACCTTCAATTTATGTTGTAATCCGAAATTATAAGTTCAATTTAAGTTACAGTCTGAAATTATAATTTTTCTTAAATAAATTCAGTTAATAGAGAATTAATTAATGTTTTTGAATGTGGATTAATACAATTTATAATAATATATTTATGTCATCTTCAAAATTTTCTTACGTCGCATTTATATTTATTTTTTACAATCTATAATAATAATAATGTAAAATTTGAATTATCACATATTATGTGAACTTTTTATCAAAAAATTAATTAGCTACTGTATTTAAAATTTTAATCCTAACCAGGGTTACATTCTAGCAAAACATAAAAAATATGGAAGTTGGCCTTAAGAATAATGAAGGCCCAAAAATTTATTTTAGCAATATGGGCCATTCATGTAACCCAAAGTATTTTTTTTGAATTAATTACCGGTATCTGATCTATTGACCGACTAATCCAGATCGGATACTGGAGAGGCGAGGGCGATCCTCCCAACCCAGTTTCGTTCATTCACAAACGATAGAATTTGAACCTCTGACCTTACTTTAGGGATCTAATGTCTCTTCCCACTAGAATAACTGGTTGTTGGTAACTCAAAGTTATTTTCCAACTTGTAGAAAGAATTGTTGAAGCAAAGGGTTAAATACATTTAGAGTCACTCAATTATGTGTTTGATAAAAATGGGTCATTTATTCTAAACTTTACAATTTAGTTATTTAATTAAAAATATGAAAAAGGTATTGATCATTTAATATTAGATGAAGTATTGATTTGACTTGGTATAATAACAATTTTAATCTTCAAGCTTAATATATTATAGCAATTTAATCAAAATTCAATAAATTTAATCATTCATATTTATAACTTCTATCGATTCAATCTTTTTTATTCTCATAGAAATTTTGTAATATTTTCTTGGTATAATAGAAATTTAAGAGTAATTTTATTGCTACTTTATGGCATAACACATTTATCTAATTGTTACTTTGATAGAAATTTTAAATATGAAAGGCTAAATTTACTGATTTATTTTGAATTAAGATTAAATTGATAGAATGTATAAATTTTGAAGACTATATATGTTATTATACCTAGTTCACATTAAAGGTTAGTTTTTAATTTTAACGGCCAATGATATTTTAATTGAGTGACTAAATTTCAACTTTAATAAAAAAGTGACTTATTTGTTATCAAACACATAATTGAGTGACCTGAAGTGTATTCTACTCAAAAGAATTAAAAAGCCAAATCTTCCCCGCCACGCCACTGCAATCGCCAATCGCCATTCGCTCTCCCTTTCTCTGCTTCCAACCAGAAGGCAACTTATTCCTAGCTTGTTTCCTCCTTTCCTTGCTGGATTCAAGCACCAAGTAAGTGTTGTTATCATGCTTTTCATTTTCCCTAATTTCCTGCTCTTTTGCTGAGTTTCGTTACTGCTCTTCTCTGCGCGTTTAAGATTTTTTTTCGTTGCTAGTTTGTCTATAAAGAGGCTCCTGCTTGTTTAAAAAGTTTGAATTCATGTCCTTTTTCTGTAGGTTCTTTCACGCTTTAGAGATTCAATGGAAAAACTCTGAAAATTGAGATCAAACGAGGCTCTTTTTTCTTAGGTCTTTTACCAATCCAATTAAAATGGATATCCCATTTCCCAATGTTACTTTGCTAAATTCAGAATTAGCTGCCATGTTTTGTCTTCACATTTTAACTTGGTTGTTTTTGCAAAATGTTAATTCCAGGAATGGAACAATCTCCGAAATTAGGGCTTTCAATTGACACCATTGATGTCAAATATATCTCGGGGTTAAGCACCATACTAGTTGCTTCTATTCAGGACGCAAAGGACAAAATTTCTCAGATCGAGTACATCTTTTGCAGCCAACTGTACCCGAATTTCCAGACAAATGGCTTGGAGAAAATATATGCAGAGGCCAAGAAAGGTGCTGAAGATGCATGGAAGAAGAAGGAAAACGAGTTCAATCTCCGACTGGAGAAATTTGAACTCGAAAAGAAACAGGTTGTTGAAGAGAACAGTTTTTTAGTGCTTGAGAAGGAAAAGCTACAAAAGGAGCAGGAAGAGAAAATGGGACAACTTGTTGGGAAAATTGAGCAGCTAAAAGGGGAGCTTATGTGGAAGTCTAAGGAAACGGATGACAGAATGGAGTTGAATAACAATTTAGTGCAGCTAGTTCAAGCAAAAACCTCCGTGATAGCTAATAAGGATAAAGAACTAAAAGAGCATGAAGAGAAAACAAATGTACTTCTCAGTGATCTAAACAACCTGCGTAAAAAAGTTGAATTACTTGAGCAGGAGCTCAGAGAAAAGACTCAGGAAGTTGCTGATGGGAAGAAGTTGGCCGAAAATTTATTTAAAAAAGTCGAGTCCCAATCCTTTGATATTATGCATAATGAAGAGCAGCTGATCAATTGTAACAAGGAGAAGAAGCTACTTGAGGCCAACTTTCAGAAATTGAAAGTGAACTACGAAAAACTCCATGTGGCACTTGGGAAGAAAAAAGATGAAGTTGAGCAAGGAAGAAAAATGCAGCTCTTGGAGGAGCATGAAGAAACAAAAGAACTACTTCTGGCCAAACTAAAAGGCTTGGAACAGGAAGTCAATGAACTGCGGGCCGCCAAACTTAACAAAAGTGGTGATGATGCAGACCATGTGAACGAAGAAAGGGAATCATATGAATTACTAAAACAGATTGAATCAAAAGCTGCTGAGTTGATGGCTGAGAAGAAGAAAAAAAGGGATCTCCTTGATGCTTACAAAAGGCTAAAATCTCAGTACAACTATCTCTGCAGAAAGAGTGGCCTTACCACGGAGAATATGTCTTTTCCCAATAAACTGGAAGATGAAAGTGACTCAGCAAGGCATCATCACAGTCCCAAACCTTCTCTTGGTAAGTTTTTCTGCTTATGTTTAGTTTATATATATTGGCTTCTATTTAGAATGCTTACTGCTTCGAGTCATCCTAGTTTTTTGGATGATAATTGCTACATTTGCTCAAGGGTCTCTCAAGTTATTGAGGTCTCGTTTTAGCTGAGTTGATTATTTGAGACTGTCCAAAATACCCTATAGTTTGAGGCAGCTTGCTGCTGAAAATTACTGCCACTGCCCTATATCTGTTGTTTTCCTTTGGGTTGGTCATAGATTTCTAAACTACATATGTTGTCCTTCATCACAGATGCTGAAAACAGAAATTTGAATACTACAATGGTTGTCTTTGACACAAAAAGCTTGAAGGATGTAACTGGTGTAAATGGTGACTTAGGGGATGAGAACGGAGCCAAATCAGTTGAAGGCCCTAGTTCACGCTTACCCACTTCCAGTTTATCCAGTCGTAAATGCCCCTCTAGCGTGAAATCTAATCCTATGGTTGGTACAAAGCGACCAGGTTCCGGTTGGAGAGACACTAGGTCCCACCAGGGCCAAGCTAGGCACGATCCCCATGATGATTTTCTCGACACTCCCCTGGAGAATATCAGGGGAAACCTGGAGAAATCCATGAAGAAAGAAGCTTGTAATCCTCCAGTTCCCGAAGACATGAATGTTGATAGCTCAGATGATGAGACGCATGATGTTAGTGTTGACAAGAGGCTTCGGAAACAAGAGATACCACTTCAAATGGCTGACAAGGGAAGTTTCAAGTACGTGGAACCCGTAAGAAAGAAAGCAGAGAGGGAAAAGTTGAAAGGATTTGAATGCAATCAATGTAAGAAATTCTACGATGCTGTTATCGACAAGGGAGATCAAGGGAATGAAGATCCCAAAAAGAATTTCCGCTGTGAGCATCATGATGGTGTGTCTAGGCATCGATACAAGTATGTTCCACCTTTGACCCCTGAGGGATTTTGGAACATTGGGTTTGAATCTGAAATGTGATTGTACCTCAAGATTGACTATGCACTTTTCATTTAAATTGAATTATCAGCATTCAAGGCGTATATATTTCATCCTTTTTTAGTCTGTAACTGTTGGGAAACCCAAATGGAAAAGCTTGAAAGTTTAAAATGAATATTTATGTGTGTTTGAAACAAATCACAAATGCAAATAAAATAATTCATGATTCTGATGATTATAGTAAAAAAATAGATGAAATTAACAATTCAAATTAGTAATTAAATCTCACAACAAAATACAAAAAAAAAAATCATGTAATATTCATGAAATTATGTTTTCTGTTAAGACTTAAGAGCAGAGTTTCAAATCGCGGTTCGTGATTTTGCGGTAGTGCTGCCTTTCGATATACCTGCTACACCCGCAATAGCACCAATAGCGTCCGCTATGGCTGCAATCACGGTAAACTCGAAATGACCGAAAACCCGAATGCGACCGCTATTTGAAACCCTGCTTGAGAGTACTTTTCATTTCGGTTGTATCATATTATTGGCATACTTGATGCTGAAGTCACTAAAAGGCTCCTTAAAACAAAAACAAAAACAAAATAGGAAAGAGGGAAGAGAAATATTTTTGTTTAATTTCTCTTCTTCCATAGATAATATTGATTCTCATCCGAAAAGATGAGCATCAGTAACTTGATTTCGTCCAACATACTGTTATTCAGTTTCCATCCATTCTTGTTGTTAATTCACAGCAAACCTCTCGTACAGGCTCTCTACGTGTTCGGAGATTTGTTGCTCGACAGCGGCAACAACAGCCTCCTGCCAACCATAGCCAAGGCAATTTCCCGCCTTAGGGCCAGAATTTCGACCAACTCTTCACCGGCGGGTTCACTAATGGAAGAACTCTCCCTGACTTCATAGGTATGTTGGATGCATAAAGCTCATTTTCCAATCATTTACACTGTTGACTCTCACTCCATATACATTTTGTAATATTTTTGGTTAATTTGAAGCTGAATTTCTTGAGCTGCCATACCCTCCACCATATCTGGGTGTACATGGATCTATACCATTAACAGGCTTGAATTATGCATCGTCAGCTTGTGGAATTCTCCCTCAAACTGGAACTATATCTGTAAGTAAATAACATCATCTTTATGCATTACTCCAATTAAAATAAATTGTTTTATAGAACCCCCCTTGAATTGCAGGGGAAATGCTTGAGTTTTGGTGAACAAATTGATTTGTTTAAATGGACAATTGAATCAAAGCTGCCTATCCACTTTAAGAGCTCCGAGGAGCTTTATAAGCACATGGCGAACTCTATATTTATATTAACAATAGGCAGCAACGACTACATTCAAAACTATCTAGAACCAACATTATTTAACACAAGCAATGGATATGGTCCTCAAGCTTTTGCTCAGCTTCTTATATCAGTTCTCTCCAATCATTTTCAGGTACTCCTTTTGAACCAATTTTTTTAGGTATAACGATAAAATTAGCTCCCAACATTTGTACATATGTCACATCATCAATTAAACACATGTGAAAATGTCAGTTAGTAATATGTGTTGATCATTATTCAACTAACGGTTACATCCAAAAAATGACTATTTTGATCAAAAATTGAAATGATAGGACTAAAATGCTAAAAAGAGAATAGGAGATAAAATGACTATCTGTGCAAATGTTAGGGTAATTTTATCATTGTCTTTTTTTTTTAGTAGTATGAAATGATTACCAGGTAACATCTGTTCAATTCTGAACGGTTCCTTTTTATATTTCTATATATTTATCCATATTCATCATGATATTGGAATTGCAGAGACTATATAAATTAGGAGCAAGGATGATAATAATGCACGAAATCGGACCCCTTGGATGCATCCCACATTACACCAGGAAATATGAACTCATTGGAAAATGTCATGAAGAAACTAACCAGATTGTCTCACATTTTAATCATACGCTTCATGAATTGCTCAAGTCTTTAACATCCACCCTTCAAGGCTCCATATTTGTACTTGATCGAATCAATTCATTAAGTTATGATGTCATTACTAATCCTTCTAAATACGGTGAGTTTTTTTATTCAAGCATTACTCCAGTCCGAAAATGATTACTCTCGGACGATAAAGTGGATAGGATACCGATGAATATACTAATAAAAAATTACGGAGTTTTTTTTTATTGGAGTTTTGCAGGATATGGTGATGGTAGAAATCCATGTTGCACAACTTGGGGAAATGGGAGTGCTGCATGCATTCCATGGCTGATAGCATGCCCTAACCCGAATCAACATTTCTTCTGGGACGGTTACCATAATACAGAAACAGGGAATTCGGTGGCAGCATCCCTTTGTTTCAACAATGCTCAATTTTGTACTCCTTTTAGCATTAGGGACCTCATTCAAATGTGAAAGTCATGTTTAAGTCAAGGCTAAATTGCATATTTGGCCCCTGAATTTTATACATTTACTAAACTTGGTATCTAAAGTTAGAACTCTTTAATTACAAGTGCATTCGGCAAAACTACTTCTAAGAGAACTCTCCGTTGCTTTCTAAAGTAAGAAAAACCAGAAACAGAAGTGACCACTCGTGTAGTTTGCCCTTTTTATTTAAGATCTTAAAGTACATTTGCAACTCTAAGAAAAGCTACACAAGGCTTAGATCTTCATGGACCAAAGAAGAATTATCTTGATCTTCATTGGTCAAGATCTCAAACCTATTTTTAGAGATACTAAATTCAGTCCTTCCTTTATCCTCTCCTATGAGAATTTTCCCGGGGGGCATTTGGATGGGGAATGTGAGATTCTCCCGGGAATAGAATCCACATTCCCCCGTTTAGTTTGGCCGGGAATGTCATTCCCGGTAATGTTTTATTACCGATAGTGAATTTTTTGTGTATATTATCGGGAATATCATTACCTCCATTCCCTTAGGTATTGTAACATTACCGGCATTTTGGACTAAAATGCCCTTAAATTTTTATTTTTTTTTCAAAAATATAATTCTTATGTCATTGAATAATAAAAATTATACGAATGTTAAATTACAAATTTATCCTTAAATTATTTTAGATTTACAAAAAAAGTCTATAATTAAAATTTTATATGAAGTTCAGGGGTTAAAATAAAATTTTACCCTTTCATTAAACCTTTTTTATATTTTTAATTTTGTAAAAAAATTATATAAATATTATGAATTTAATTTTTTAAAGAAAATATATAAATATTTTACAACTTGTAATATTATACAAATATATAATAAAGACAATTTTGTCAAATATACATTCCAATAATCTTTTATTTCTTTAACCAAACACGGTAATCTTACATTCCTGCTAAACCAACCAAACACAAAATACAACATTCCCAGTAATCCTATTCCCTGGTAATCTTTTATTATCACTAGTAATTTTACCTTCCGTGAACCAAACACACCCTTATTATTTTGGGAAGAGGAACGTGAAGAGGGAAATTCCTTATTGTTTGACTCAACAAGAGCTCTAAACATTTCATCAATAACATCAGTAACATCTCTAAACAACACTAAATACCCATTAAATTTTGGATCATTATGAATTTAGGTATAATTTTAGAGATTAATTTATAAATCTTAATATTGTATAAGATATATGTTGTCAGGCGGATCTAGCCGGGTACGTCTCCAGTTGGATAGTGGGTTTGGGGATGAATTTGAAAATGTACTCATGTGGACAGATGTGGATTTAAAAAATTTTACCCATCATAAGTGGTGGGCGGGTAGTAGATTTAAAAATATTAGGTGGATATGAGAATGAGAGAGGGGTATCCGCACCCGACCCGCCATTTTGTCATCCTACTCTATACAAAATTTAGCATAATGTACAAAACTTGAGTTTCTATATAACTTAAAATACTTGTATAAACCAACTACTTTTTCTTCTTCCTATGCACGCCTTTATGGCCAACTAAAACAAAAAGGAGAAACACACGACAAACTGAACTTATAACTAAGGGACTTATGAACCTATATCAAGCCAGGGTTACAAAAAAAAAATCTCAATGCCTTGGTACATGATTGTTGATCGGAGGCTTGCGACGAGGCCTGTCGGAGCCTCTGTAATCCTTCTGCATCAAGTTTACTACATCTTTAGCTTCTTCCAGTAGCATTTTTTGTTCAACTTTGTTACCAGTGACAGCCTCTTCCTTCTAGGAGTTCCCAATTCACCAAAACCATTAGTTTTTGCACCCAACCTGTTCGCGCCACTCACCTGGTAATGGAACATAAAATAAATAATATTCATAGGTCATGGTAAAGAAATACTTGGTTTTGTTGTATGTGTGTTCAGGGATTTAAATAACGATCCGCTGCTATACTCGTAATGACCGCTATAGCATCTATTATATCTGTAATTACAATAAAAGTAATTGCAACCACAATTTAAATCTGTGTGTTTGAGAAAGAGAGAAAGAAAGACCTGGTTATTTGCTTGATCTTGTGACTGAGCAATGGACATAATGTCAGCGTCATTGTTCTCGCCTGCACTCAAAGGACAATATCTAGTATGAATAAACTACAGATTAAGTTTGATCAGATTTAATCATGGAAAAAAACATATGCAATCTAATCAAACGAAACCCTTTATTTTCATATAAACCAGAAGCACTTGAAAGTACCACAAAACTTATGTAAGCTAAATAGAATTTCCATTTTTTATAAACAACAAAACTTTTCCATTACATACAAGTTATGATATTCACTGCCTAAAACATCAGACAGAAGAGATCTAAAAGGGTGGTTGTTTTTGAATCAGTTATGCTTTGGAGGGTGACGTTTAGGCCCTCCATAATCAGCACTTAAAGCTACAAAACCAGGTGTTTCAACCTTTGGAAGATGACTGCTATTTTCATTCCAATATTTCACATTTAAAGCTCCCTTGCCTTCAAATTCACATTTTCCATCAGACCGGTTTGCACCTGAATTCTTTTGAAGCCACAACTTGCAGGTGTCTTGTAATTTTCCTTCCATGAAATTCCTGCAAAACCAAAACAAGTATTTGCATGAGCTTTCAAAACTTCAAATATATGAACAGTTTCTACTTGCAAATGTATCCAAAACCAACCTTTTGAAAAACAGTCACTTCACCAGCTATTTCGCCACCTGCGGAGACAATTGAAACAACAGATAATCTCATATTAGAGTAACTTGAAGGTTTTTTTTCAAGTAAATTAAATGTGAAAAATTAGTTTACTATGAGTACTATACCTTGATGAGCATGAACTGAGCATCTGTTAAGGGCATTCAAAACAAAGAAAAGAACCATTACCAAGCCTGCATAAAACCTTAAAATATGCAGCATTTTTTGTGATTCTTCCTTTCACTTGAGTATGTTTTCTTGATTGAAAGAGAGAAAATCTGGAAAAAAGAAAGGAATGGTTTTTATAGAGAGTTCAAAGTCCAAGTCAAAGCTAGGGTTCCAACACCTGCATAAATAAACTATTTATCTTGCAGAGCTTGGGAAACACGCTAATAAAAGAATTAACTGCAATCACAAAAAAGTTTGAATGTGGTTTTATGCATAGATTTTGCCAAGGCTAGGGACTCGAAATGTGATTAGAGATATCATAAATTATTCGAATTTAATTTAATTAAAATTCATTCAACATTAAATTAAAATAAACTACTTAATATATGAATCAAGCTTGAACTAAGTTCTAAAGCGGGCCTTTGTATTTGGATTGGAATTAAATGTTGATTTTGTCCCTCTTTGCCTTAGTGCATGCAACGAGGAAGCCTTTGATTTGCCGAATCATTTGAAGGACCACTTTGGCTTACAAAAGAAAGACGATGCTCAATTGATTCATGAGTGGCATGCTAGAACAAGTCAGAATTCTGTAGTGATGGAGAATTTTTCTGACATTTGTAATCAATTCTGATCAAAACTTCAAAGCTTTACACAGTCTTTCTAATATAAAATCAGTATTAAATTTGGCATTTTTCACTTTTTTTTAAACGAATTCGGATCCCTGCAGATTGAAGTATGGTAAAATGAGTGTGTCAGAATCTGACTTACAGATTCGGTCTTCTACATGATTGAATAGTTCATCCAGAGGAAGAATGGGATAAAAACAACTCCCTTCCATAGGATACCGACCCTATGGTATCTATACTTGGTTAGCCACATTTTCTTTAACAATTTTTTTTTATATAATCATTAATATTCCACATGTAGGTTAATATATGCTTAATTTAGATCGAATAACATATTATAGAAACTTGATATAATAATACATTTTTGATTTAATTCGTTTTATTTAAAACATTAAAATTATAAGGATGATTCTTTCAATTTAAATCTCTTTATTTAAAATATTATAATTCAAATAACACACTTTATTTAAAGATATTTAAAATATTTTTTCAAGGCATTTATATTTTCTATTTACATGATAAATTAATATATATATGTGTGTGTTAAAATTGTATTAAGATATTTGTGCTCAACTCATCTTGAGAATAAGGATGGGTACGGGTCGGGTTTTTGGTCCACCCGACCCGACCTGTAACATATCAAACTACGGGTTAGTGACTAAATTGTAAAACTTCAGGATGTGGTGATTAAAGTAGGATATTTGAATAGTTCAATGATTTATTCGGAAGTATTTCCTGAAATTTTTAGTAATTATCAAAGGAATTAAAGGGTAAAATGGTCATTTGACAGGAAAGATTTTTATTTCCTTATAATATAAGGAAACCACGTGTAAGGGATGGAAACAAAGCCAAAGTTATCTTCTTCTCCATTGTTCTTCCATACGAGAGAGCCACAACAAAGGTGAGTTTTCTATTTTGTTGATTATTTGTTGAATTAAAGGTTGAGTTTTGATCATTAGATGATAACTAAGCTTAAGGAAAGCTTAAGTTATCTTATAATCAAAAGATGACGAAGTTATAAGAGATTAAAGAAAATGAGTTTTTATATGAAATTATGGAAAAGAGTTGATAAGTTGAATTTGAAGTTAAATTTGACTTGTCATCAACCTAATTAAAGAATATGAAGTATTAGTATTTGATTTAGAACATATTGAAATTTGAGTATGATTTTTGAATTCTAAGAAGAGAAGTGGATTTTGAAGTTAATGATGTATCGAATGAGTATTAATGAGTTCAAGTATGAGTAAATGAGTTAAGTATATGTAAATGAATGAAATAAGAAGTGTTTGAGCAAAAATGAGGTGATTTTCGTGCTCAAAATATAATTTTTGGTCATAGGGTATCGATATCATATGAAGGGGTATCGATACCTCCTTTTGAACGAAAAATTACAGAATGTCAGTATGGTATCGATACCCTATAGGGGGTATCGATACCCCCATGAAGATGAAAATTTTCAGAATGTTATCAGGGTATCTATACTATAGGCAGGGTATCTATACCATAG